CAAAAATGAGCATCATTTACCCATATATCAAAATCAGTAGTAATATTTTGTTCAATAAGAAATGTCATAAAATAGAGAAAACCAGAGTGTGTTGAATCAGGGTGGATCATTTTTGAGGGTTTGCCCTCCTGATCCATGAAACCTGTCAAGATGAGGACAACTTTTAATTAGTTAATTCATTAATTAATAAATAATTTTTTTAAATGTTAAAACAAAAAGCCCTTAACCCCTCCAGCTAAAAATTATATAAAATAATTGCGAGAAAGATTAATAATTAAGAGAACGATCAAATATATTAATGTTGTTAATGAAGACGGGAAGTACATTTTGGTAGATTTGGAAGCCTGTGATACATTATGATGCCTGGCTGACATCATTTAGGAAAGGAGAGTGAGTGAGGTTGGTTGGCATATGTATAAAGTATTATTAACAATTCATAGCGGATCTGAACATTGATATTTAAATACATGCAGACACTCACATGTGGTGTTAGTTTGAGTTAAAATAAACATTTTCATCTTTTCTTCCTACCTCTTATAACTGTAGCCAACCAAACCTAAAATAATATCATGAATTTTAAAAAGGGACATATTTTGTAATACTGAGTGCCTTTTTTACCTAAGGACTTAAGCTTTCATTTGCACCTATTATAATTGCCTTTTTCTTAGCATTTGATGCACAAGAGATATTCAACAAAAAATGAAAGGTGTGCCATCCAACCTCAGTCTCTGCTACAAAGGTTAGAAACGCCACTAGAGCAGATGCAAATGTCACACAATCACATGTGTCTTTTCTATTTCTCTTTGGCCAGATGCTTCCAGGTCGTGTTACTGTTCTACGGCCCATTACAGGTGCTTACAGTATGCATGTGTTACCAATAATAAAACCATATATCAATTGATAGTTCATAAATCAATAAAAGTGATTTGTGACTGACTCCTGTGCTTGTGCAGGTGTTAGCGGTGGAAAATGTAAACTTTGGAGTACACGTAGAGAATCAGACAGGTGTGCGGGACGGCCTGAGCCGGAAACACCATCGGGTTTACCAACTATACAGTCGGACAAGCGGAAAACACGTCCAGGTGCTCGGCAAGAAAATCACCTCCATGGGAGAGGACGGGGATAAATATGGTAAGGAATCGTCTGAATGTGTCAGCCAACCTCTACACATTAAATTTAATGACTGACTGATTAATTCATAAGAATTATTATTAGTGGTATATATATTTATATCTATCTATCTATCTATCTATCTATCTGTGTAATTATAATATTCTTTAAGTCTAGAAATAAGGAATTTACAATAAATACAACAATTAACAATTTATCTATATTTATTAACAATTTATTTATATTAATCATGTTACGTCCTCTTTTGAAGTCACTTTGGACAACATTTTCAGCTAAATTAATGTGTAAATGTATATTAAATTATACAATCTGCTAGGATTAACACACTTCTATGCTACAACCTGAAGTTAAAAAAAATCATCTGCCAACGATAGTTGTCTTGCTAAACTCTAATGATAAACTGTAATTTCTATGACAGTGCATCGAATGCATTTCAGTGTCAGTTATGTTCATTTATATTCCTGTATGTTTGTATTTTTGTGTTTCTTCACAAGCCCAGCTCGTGGTGGAGGCCGACACCTTTGGGAGTCAAGTGAGAATAAGAGGAAAAGAGACAAACTACTACTTGTGCATGAACCGTAAGGGGAAGCTTGTGGGCAAGGTGAGTTACTGAAAAATGGCTGTACTTGATATTGTAGGGCCTGCATCCTTTAAATCATTCACGCTCTGAAGAGCTGTTCACACACTGATTTGAAACAACCTGAGGTCACTTGTCAGTGTGAAACCCCCATAAAACGCACATCTTTGTTGGACTCTTAAAAGCTGGCAATAACGAGCTTGTTTCACAAAAATTCCAGTGAGATCAAAATTTAAGTAAGCTTATTTTTGCAAAATGAAATTTTTAGAATAGATTATGGACCAAATATAGCGATATATCTGGAGATACATTATCCAGCCACTTTATTAGGTAGGCTACACCTTGCTAGTACCAGGTCGGACCCATTTTTGCCTTCAGAACTACCTTAATTCTTTGTGGCATAGATTCAACAAGGATCAAGTAAACAGTGTGAGATGATTTGAACTTTGTGACATGGCACACAAATCCACAACGAGCAGCCCATCTGGCACCAACAACCACGTCACATAAATCACCTTTCTTCCCCATTCTGATGGTCGGTTTGAACATCAGCACATTGTCTTGACCATGTCTACATGCCTAAATGCAGTTGCTGCCATAATGAGCAGTTAATGAGCAGTTGAACAGGTGTACCTAATAAAGTGGCCGGTGAGTGTATATTAAACATGGCTCTTTTTTTAAAGAAAATGCATACGTTCTTCCATTCCAGAAAGACAGCAACGTAAACGGAGGCTGCATTTTCATCGAGATAATGCTTGAGAATAACTACACCGCTTGGATGTCAGCACGCTACGTGGGCTGGTACATTGGCTTCACCAAAAGGGGCCGACCGCGCAGAGGTCCGAACACGTTACCCAACCAGCGAGACGTGCATTTCATGAAACGCTTCCCTTCAGGAGAGCAGCCTGACCTGCAGCCCTGCAGCTTTACCACGGTCAGCAAGAGGAGCAAAAGAGTCCAGCAGACCTCCACCTCTCCTCCAGCACTCCAATAATACAACAAACACTGACTGTTGCGCAAAGATAATTTCTTACAGAGGATCTAGAGAGACGCTTTTCCTTAAAACGCAAGTAGGTTAGGCTTTAGGACCGACCTCTCGGTAGAAGTCACAGTCGAAGGACAGAGTTGCTTAAACATTGTGTAATCATGCAAATATTACCAAAGACTCCTGGGCAAGTGTCCAGTCTCTAAACCCTGACAACAAGGGGACCAAGCACTTCAGAGGCCAAAGAATTCCCCTCTAATGTCCAGTGCCACAGCTTTGATTTGTCCCACCATAAAAGAGCAAAGAGCTTTACTTGCGTTGAGTTGTATGGCTGGAAAACTGGTAAGTGCGCGGCATAATGTGCATTAGCTGAGACTTGGCGACTTGGATGCTTATGACCAAAAGGGCGATTAAAGGACCTGCTTTGTGAACTTATCAAATGTCAACCTTGGTCCTATAAGAGCCATGAGATTGTAAACAAGAAACAAAGTCACTCAGAATGTATTTGTCAAGAAAATCCTATTAGACCTTCTGGTGAAGGTGTAGTTTTTTTTTTTTGCCTCAGATACTTCACATTTCACCAGGAGCATCGAGAGTCTTTCATATTCATCCAATGAAAAAGTGATATTTAAAGGGAGTGATATACACTACCGTTCATAAGTTTGGGGTTGGTAAGATTTTTAAATGTTTTTGAAAGATGCTCAAAAAGATAAAAAATACAGAAAAAAAGGAAATATTGTTAAACAATTACAATTTACAGTAACTTCTCTATCTTAATATATTTTAAAATGTAATTTATTTCTGTGATGCAAAGCTGAATTTTCAGCAGCCATTCCTCCAGTCTTCAGTGTCACACGGTCCTTCAGAAATCATTCTAATATGCTGATTTCTTATTGCTATCTATGTTGAAAACAGTTGTGCTGGTCCATATTTTTGTGGAAATCAAAAGTACGAAAGTACAGTATAACAGTCTTTAATATTACGATTGATCAATTCAATGCATCTTTGCTGAATAAAAGTTCTTTCTTGAAGAAAAAAAATGTAATGAACGGTAACATTTGAACAGTAGTGTAAATATAATTTAACAGCACAGAATGCCAAATTAAATATCCTGACCACTAATAAGACGGTAAAATCCCCCACAATCCACAAAAGAAAGTATGAAAAAGGGGCCTATAAAAGACAACATTTGTGAGCACTGATCTGCACTGATGTTCATGGCTGTTTTAAAACAAAATGTCCATTACTGGTCCCAACATGAGTTGATTTTCACTCTAGAGAGTTAAATGTATCAGAGTAGTTATTTGAACTGACCCTGGAGCTTCCAGCCCTGCAAGTGTTGTAATGCTAAATGTTGCAAATTACTGTCCCAAAACCACTTGGGGCTGGTGAAGTCTTGAGAGATGAAATATTTTGATACCATTCATACTATTAAAATATTTATTTTGTGGATGCATTGATCAGTGGGTTTTATCTGTTCCACGACACCATTACCCTGAACATTGGTGTATTTTGGGGTCCAAACTCTCCTGTGCTCTCCAGCAGTTTTATTGCCACCTGGTGGACCCAGAGGGTATAAACTACAACCCTAAAATGCACACTTGCAAACCGTGTAATAGAGGCTAGAACTAGTGTAACTATCATAAGAGTTCCAAACAACAAGAAAGCTAAACAATAAGAACAAAACTGAGAAGTTTTCTCAAAAGTAAACATGTATAAGGGCTGTTTTGAGATTTTGTCTGTACTCTAGACATCTACTGCATTCCGGATCACCCATTTTGGGCAGTAGTCGCCTCGCTCTCCCCCGTCTGAAGACTGACTTTGATCCTCCCTCTTTATAATGTCTCCATCTCGCTCACATCCACCCTTATGTCTCACAATCTGACAGCAGCCTGCCATAATTCAGTCTAATGCCTTATTTCAAATGGAATTCCATTCTGAAGTTCGCACAGAACGGAACTTTGTGATTCTTGAGATTTCAGACTAAAATATTGCTCTGCATTCAAACATTTTTTGAATTGCTACAGCACTGAAATGATTTACCCAAACTGGGCTCGTATTGTGGCTGTTGCCATGGTGGCGTTCATAAGGAAAGCTGAACTCAAATAAGACGAAAATGACAGTACTGCCAATTTCCACATATTCGGAGCAGGAGGTAAACTTAAATATTTGAACAGCAGCCCTGCGATTTCTGGAGGACTTGGCAGGCGCTGCGGCAGGTTACTGAAATCTGGGCCTATCGAAAAGCCTTTATCTCAAAAGGGCGAATCATGCATACAAACACACACACGAAAAACAAGGCGATTGTGCAAGCTTCTTAACACTCCTTCACAGTCAAGTACTTTATTCTTATTAATAACGCTTTTTTTTTTCTTTAAAAAAATCTTTGCAATATACAACACCATTTTAGACGAGACGATTCTGTTTACAACTAAATTCAGATCAGTTATGGGTCATTCAGAACCTAGACGAGCAGACAGTGAAAAGGGGAACGAGACGGACAGAGCTAAAAATGAGAAATGGAGGGACATATCAGGAGAAGAGTCAAAAAACTACAATTATTCATACAATTTCACAACAAAAGAAAATATGAAGTCAATTTCCCAACTTAAAAAAAAAAAAAGAAAAAAAAAAAGGGAAAAGCATAAAAAAACAAAAAAACGTAAGACAGAAACCGAGGGGTTGACCAGCACACATTCCACGTCCCATCGCTCAATCATTCATGCAGAACAGTCCTGAGGGAAGGAAGGCACTCACACCTTGCCTTCTCCCTTTAGTTTTTCATTTTTCTGGTTTAATCAATAAAAATAAAAACAAACAAAAGATAGATACAGAGTTCATGGGCCCAGGGGGTGGAGCCGGGGCAGCGGTCACTCTGTACGCAGTGGCAGGGGTGAGGGGGGCTCCACGCCCACCCTTACGTTCTCTGCTTAATGGCATTGCTCTCTCCATCTTTTCTCCGCCTCCTCCTCCACAGAGAGGGAGAAAGAGAACTGACGCAGTTTGTGTTGTGGGGCGGCCCTCAAAACGACTGAAGAGGGGGAGAAATAAAATGGACAGATGGAGAGAGGAGGGTGAAGTTGAGGGGGGGTGGTGGTGGCGTTCCTCAACCTTTGATCCTGGCACACTTCCACAGAGACTGGGTCACCCGAACAGTCCCCACACACACTCGCACACACTCCGCATGCCACCAAGGCTTCCCTGTCATGAGATCACATGCATGTAAGTTAGATTTTGTATTCTGATGTGTGTGATCTTCAATAAAATCCAGTCAAAACATGTGCTACCTGCTATCTGGATATGTAGGTATACGTGCGGGATGGCGATCGTCCTTCCGTCTGCCCGTTGGTCAACACATTGAGGAAGTCCCAGATAAGGATAGTGTCATCGTGGGAACTGCTGATGATCTGGAACTCATCGAATTGGAGCCGGAACACTCGGCCAGAATGTTCCTACACGCAGACAGACTACTATTAAAACAATCCTTTCACAACAATGTGTGACAATGCAGAGGGCTGATTAACTACACATGACTGAGATGAGTAACAGATTAGAGACTGTCAGGAGTAAATAACAGCAATTAATCGGCTGATATTTGGGCATTTGAGATTATTGATAGCAACGTTGCAAATTTTGTTGTATTGTACACATTTAAAGATTTGTCCTTAAAAAAAAAAAAAATACTTGAGAGCCTGAATAAACAAGACAGATGTTTAAAGAAAATGAATTGAGAGCATGTATAAGGGTTCTTAAAGGGATAGTACACCCAAAAATGAAAAGTTGATATTTATCTGCTTACCCCCAGGGCATCCAAGATTCTTCAGAAGAACACAAACAACGATTTTTAACTCAAATCGTTGCAGTCTGTCAGTCATATAATGGAAGTGAATGGGAATCATGGCTTTGGCTTTACGGCGGATCGCAGGACAGTTCGGACATTGCGGTGAATCAAGAGGTAAAAAAACAATATAAATACTGTTCAGTTTCTTGCACAGACCGATCCTTTTGTGTCTTTACACAACAATGTATCATCACGATCCGCAGGGTTTAATTTGGTTTTGTTTGTGTATGTTTTTTTGACTCTCAAAGCCGTGATTCCCATTCACTTCCATTATATGACTGACAGACTGCAACGGTTTGATTTAAAAATCTTCATTTGTGTTTTACTGAAGAAACAAAGCCACCTACATCTTGGATGCCCTGGGGGTAAACAGATAAACATAAAATTTTCATTTTTGGGTGAACCATCCCTTTAAGCGCTGTGTGGAAACTCACCACTAGTGTACGTAGGCACAGAGTGCTGGCTGGGGCTCGTGGATCGAGAGCAGCTTGTAGGTCCCATACTTTAATTTTACTGCATACACACACAAACATATTAAAACACATTAGAAAATGCACAAAAAAATATGACCATCATAAATCTATGGTACATCGGTTAAAATGCCCTCTCTAATTCTTATGTTGTAAAGCAGCTTTAGAGGCGATTTCACACATAATCTACAGATAATCTGTGATTCAATTGTGGGCTTTGTGGGATTAAAAGTGACTGCTCCCTCAGCAGTGTGGGTATTGTGCACTGCTTATGTATCAGATTAATGACCAGAGCACAGGGAGCAGACAAATCCAACTCCGCAATTAAAGATGTGAGAATAAAGAGATTATTCACATCATGGCAAGGAATAAACCAGCCATAATAGATCCAGATAAAAAAAAATTTTAAAAACTCTGCTTAAATTTAATCCCCCAGACTACACTACATTCCTGCAACAGCAGTGTGAGGAGATCAAGGAAAGAGTTTGCTAATATATTTATTTTAAGATGTGCATTTCAATCTCCAATGTTACAAACTTAATTTTTTTTTAGACTTTTTACAAGAACTTCCCCTCAGTCTCTTATTTGATGAGTGGATTGTGCATGACTCCCAGCTTTGCTGCAGTTTGCCGATTTTTGTAAAACATTTTTTTTTTCTTTTCAAATAAAAGAGTGGTTTCAGTTTACAGGGTTTCCGCAGGTCCTTACAAAGTCTTACATTTAGTTGTCAAATTTAAGGCCATAAAGAGTCTTAAATGGTATAAGAAATTCTTATGATTTCAATATGCCTTAAATTTGGGGACGGAAAGAGCAGAATTGCGATATGGCTTAATGTGACGATTGAACTTCAAAAGGCTGTGATTTCATTAAATAATCATCAGCTCTGCACATTTCAGAGTTAGGTGCTGCTCTGTTTTGTGTACAGCCATTACCTGGGAAACCGCTGTATTTCTGCCATTCCAAAAGCTCTACCTATCAATTTGCATGTTCAATAAGCCCGTCTGCTGTTTTTGTTCAGACCAAGCGAAAATCAATGTTATTTAATTAATATAATAATTGATACTTTGATCCATTTTCTGGATGGTTTACAGGCTGAAAGTTTAGTTTATCATTTTATAAAACTGTTTTTGTGAAACCTGTATTTGAACTGTAAATCACGCTTTAGTCATTTTACAGTTTAATATGTTACCATAGACACTGCCCTGCCCCACTCATATGGTATTAACTTTATTTGTGCATAATTTTATTTGTGCAAATTTCTGCAAAACTGAAAAAAAAAAAAAAAAAAACGAAATTGTGACTGTACTGTCTTCGCTTAAGAAATCAGTCAGATGGCAGGAGTGGAAGGGGGATCAAGCAGGATGTTGTGTTGCTGTCAATTTGCAGTCTCGTTTTAATGATAGCCCTTACGCATTTGTCAATCCTCCATGCTTCCTATTTGGGGAATGAACTCAGCACTCCGATTGGTCGAACTCTTCTTTTGCTGTTGCTTGATTTGAGTACTGCGCGTGGACAGAGCCGTCACCAGGTTTTTGCGTAGCTTAGAGTGACAAATCGTACCAGTGTACTTTGAGGTCAAAATGCATACCCGCTACGCAAAAGGAGTACAGGTTGGCAGGTCTGAAAAAATGACAATAAAACTTTCAACTTTGAACTAATCAGACTCAGGCGTACCCGTCATACGCTCCACTCACGATCCGCTTGTTATCAAAGCGAATACAGCGAACAAGTTCCTCGTGCCCTTCCAAAACCCGCAAGCAAGCTCCACACTCAATATCCCACAGCCTGGAGAAAGAGATTAACACAAATTTTGTGAAAAAAATAAATCATACAAGTAAAGAATACTAACTGGCTGAAACCATTTTTGATTTTTTGCACATTATTTTAATTAAAACTCGAGAATTAGTCTTATTGTCATTACATTAAAGAACACTTAAACTTAGTTCAAGCAGAATGTTTTGAACAAAGTATCTTATGCTCACAAAGGCTATATTTATTTGATCAAAATACAGTAAAACAGTAATACATGAAACATAAAACTTTTATTTGTAAATATTTTAAAATGGAATTTATTCTTGTGATGCAAAGCTGAATTTTCAGCCATTCCTCCAGTCTTCAGTGTCACATGATCCTTCAGAAATCATTCTGATATTTTTATTACATTATATAATAATAGAAAATCATTGCTATAACAACAACATTTTACAGTTAAAAGTGTACTTAATTGTCCTGGGGGAAATGTCACCTGTATATTTGACACGTTTCTTGAAATTCACTCAACTACTATTAAACAAGCTTGAATGATTGCTTGTTCACACACACCTGATGGTGTTGTCTGAGGAGCCGCTGACCACAAGTCTGTCTCTGTACTGCAGGCAGGCAATTCCTCGCTTATGACCATTTAGTGTCCGAACAAACTCACAGGTGCTTGTACTCCACACCTGCAGAACACATTACATCACACAACAGGATTAAACATTAAACACATTAAATCTGTTCCCAATCACTGCCATCTTTCTTTAGAATAATCCACAGGCATATTTAATAAAATACCAGTACATTTAAACTCAGGAAGCCATGTGTGTGCACATGAGAAAACACCTCTAGACACCTACACACACACCAGCCCTTACTGCCCTGCCTCATTATTTGGGGAATGTTTTGATAGGGTGGGGGATGCAGAAAGACTTGGCACCCCTCCCAGAGTGATGGGTGGGTTGGATCAGTGCTGGAATCCCAACTGCCCCGAATCCCGCATCTAGAGCTGCTAGAGAACACGAGTGCTGAAGGACTCTGGGCAAGAGCAGCAGACTATAGCGCTTCTGCAGTTTACAGAGAATTAAGAAAATATTACACTGCTACCCTCTGCTGGGAAATTCTGTGCTTTGGACTAAACAAGCAGACAGCCGAATAGTCAGTAAAAGTCTAGCTGCATGACAATATAGTCTAGTCCACTCAGCTTATTATTGCCAAGAACCAACACACTTAGATAGGACAGGGTCTGAATGATATGTATTGGGGTATAATACATATGAAATCTGATAAAACTCTAAGAGCACTGATTTGTGGTTTGATTGACAGCTGATAACAGTCATTCAGAGATCAGAGTGCTGACCTTTATGGTCCGATCCCCAGAGGCAGAGACAATGTACTTGTCGTCAAAGTCGACCACATTGACGGCAGCCCTGTGTCCGACGAGGACCCGGCGGAGACTGATGTCAGTAGGAGAGGCCATGTCCCACACGGCGATGGAGCGATCCTTCGAGCAGGTGACCATCAGCCCGTTACAGAATCGCAGGTGGAGCACAGCCTCGTTGTGATGGATCAAAGTGTTCAGAACCTCCCCCGAGTTCACATCCCACACTCTGGGTAAAAAGAGAAGGCAAGCAAAGTCAGACCTGATTTTATCAGTCCCTTATTCATTCCAGCTGAACAGACATGTGGAGTGATGGGGGGGACTGGAAAAAAAATGAACAGAGGACTTATAGAGAGTGAGAGAATGATAGAAATCTGACCTGACAGTGGAATCAGAGGAGCCGGTAACAATGACTCTCTCATCGTATTGCAGACACAGCACAGAGCCTGTGTGCCCCGTAAGGATCTTCAAACACTCCAGAGTCTGTTTATCCCATATCTATATGCGAACACATAAGACATCTTTTTACAACTTCAAACATCAAGAATTTCACAATGTCAAATATAAACTTCTGTTAACTAGATTAGACTAATCATTAAAAAATGTTTTGGCATGATTATGTCTTCAAGCCGGGACTCTTATAAAACATGTGAAGTTTAGGGCAGATTTGACATTGCTTGTTTGAGTTTGTGTAAAATATGCCAGTTCCTGTTGACAACAGACCTCAAAATTGTTAAACTTGGGGCGGATTGGACAATGTATGTTTGAGTTACAACAACTTCCAGTTTCATGCCATTAATAGCATGTTTGAACAGTTAGCTAAATGTTGCTAGAATGGTTTAACATGTTTCTACCATGTTGCTAGCAGGGCTCAACATAACGCTTGTCCGGGACATGTGGATTTTGTGAAGGGGCAAGTGGAAGAGAATTTTACTTGCCTGACCGGACAAGTAACATGATTAAAACGTCAATAAACAATAACTAGGGCAGCACTGAAACTTTGGCAAGAATGATTCTGATTTGATTAATTTCAGTGTAAACGGTGACTGATAACAGATAATTTATTGACAGTATCAAGGCTCTCGCAGCCTGACTTGCGGAAAAATCAGAACTAAACACACACAAATGAACAAACATACTGCGGTAGAAAACCCCCCAAAAAAGATTCTATATAATATATGATGCAGGTAAGCAACATCACACGACCAAGAGTGATGTTTTCCCAACTATCAGCATGATTGCAAATGTGACATTGATATTATACAACAGTAGTTCAATAAACAAGTATGTAATATTAACCGAATTACATTTTAGACACGTTATTGACCATTTTTGCTCCATTTCACTAATGAAAATTGTTCTAAGCAAAGCCACAGCAGAACAGTCGTGCATCTCCGAGCAACACACAACAGTGTTTCCTTACTGAATGATTCTAGGAGTCCATAGCAGTGTTAAACATGTCACTTCCTGTTGCCAGCAGGTGGCGCTATGACTATAACTGAATATGGGCATGGACGTGTTCAGGACAAACCTCCTATCAAACGTGTGAAGTTTGGGGCAGATTGGACATTGTTTGCCTGAGTTACAGCAACTTCCTGTTTTATGTAAAAACATTGAAATTTGTCAGGCTGCCAGGGATACACTCTGCGACGAAAACTGAAGATCTTCGCAATTTAGCATTGCAAAGGCCTTATGATTACACTCACCAAATTTGAAGATGATCCGATTAAAACTGAGTTAGTTAAAGTATGAGGCCTGAAAATGGCAAAAACTGCACAAAAATCGTAGAGGAAATTCAAAATGGCTGACTTCCTGTTGCGTTTAAGACTTCTCTCCAAGAGACTTTTTTGTAGGTATTGGGATATTACATGCATGTACCAAATTTCGTACACGTACGTGAAACGTACCGTTGATGACCAATTCTGAAACCCATATCAGACATACATTTTTGCCAGTTCTGATGCGTGTGCAAAGTTTTGTAAGTTTGAGCAGGTTTAGGACCTCAAAAATGTGATTCACTTTGGAGAAGAATAAAGAGCGATTCAAAGAGGGTCCTCGCAATAACTTTTTACTGATATTGTCACCTACGACACATCCCTAGAGATACACTTGCTGAAATTCTCTCCCACAACAAGAGCAGTAAGATCATGGGATTTTACCACACAGTTTAGTACTATGAGTAAGAAAATTTAACATACCCCTATATATAACCAGTATCAATAGTCACTGTTGCCTTAGAAAGTGTGACTTGAATCATTTCACCCATTTCAATGTCCTCTCTATAGTTTCAGTATTATAATACAGTAGGGAAGAGATTTGGTGTAAATCTAAACCTCGAGCATGTTTCTGTTTAAAGAGCTTTAAAACTATCCCTCCATCCGAAATCCTCTTGTTAGCAGAATCCATGTTCCTCTAAACGGTCAAAAATCACGCATTTGCAAAATGTGATTAAACACGTCATTAGCATAATTCACAAGAACACGCTTGAGGTCAGATGTGGTTTGTGTTTTTTAAATGACACCTGTGTAGTGATGCACTCAGACTTTGTGGTTTTTGCTGCTGATGACTTCACTAAACCCACAGGAGGTTCACAAGAAATACACTGGCAGAGCGCTGTTGCACCTTGATGGAGTTATCGCGTAGACCGCTGATGATCTTTTCGTCATCATACTGGAGACAGTAAACACCTTTGCTGTTCTCCGACCTACACTGGATCCTCTGCAGGTTATGTCGGCCACACCTCCAGTTTGCCTCGATGGTCTGGAAACAGAAACGTCACATATCAGCAATTTAGTTACTGCTAAGAGGCATATCTAATTTATTTGATCAAAAACGATTATGCATGAACATGAACTAAAAAAAGTGTCCCATTTCATCATTACATTTGAAAATGTAGTATTAAAATAGCTGATGGCTGCATACTCTGACTACTCAGAGGGCTGCTATGAAGAAGACAAAGAGCTGGGTCACATGAGGCCTGCCGCCTACCCCTGAGGTGTAATCACTGGTCCTGCTCGTTCAAATGAACAAACAAACGCTCCAAGTTACTACCTTCCTTTCTTTAAAAATGCTGACATGAGCAGACAAGATCTAACATCGCATTACATTTATAAAAGGACAAGCGAGAAAGAAGCGATGGTTGCTTTGCCCACCTCAATGTCCTGAATGATTTTTGGATAAAGAGAGCGGTAGTATGAGTTTGGAGGAACTTCTGTTGTGCGGTTCTTGAACAGGTATTTTTCCCTGTGAAGGAAACAGCAATAAACATCCCTGATAAACTGACATAAACAAGCATCTTCATAATTCAAGGCCAAATAAGATGTACAAGACAGTCTAAATGGAGGTTCCCAGCATGTCTGGTGGAGAATTACACCACTGAAAGATAATGATCAGGTTGTTCTTAAACCTCATGTATAAATGAGGGGGCTTGGGCGGGGGGGGGAAGATGTAAACAGTCATATCAGCACTCACCACTGGTGTCTCTCTGAAAGGCCCTTCCACAGTGGGTCTGTCCGAACCATCCTCTCGATCAGCTTCTTCCATAACATGCCTTCGGATATCACACGCTGCCATTCTTTACACACCAGCTCAGCCGAACAAAGCGAGCGTGCGTCCAGGAAGGACAAGATGTTCTCCGCTATATGATCCAGACCCTGAGCTGGAAGACAAATTGAGATTGAGTTTAAATACCAGGGTGTAAGAGTTGAAAGCTATACAAGCAGGATTTCAGTGAAAAAAAAAAAAAGTTCAAGAATATCTCATCTTTCTTAACATCAGCATAAAATCACATTCACATACATTTTATTTTATTGCAATTGAAGTGATTTCAAATCAAGAGATACTAAAACAGGCCAAGACATACATGGTCTATTTAATCTTAAGGTTATGTTTTATAATGGAGTTGGGCATACCCTCCATCAAAAATAGCATCTTCAGAATAAGGACTGCGTGTCATACCTGGCAGTGCCGTAATGAAGTCCCTTTGGAGCATGGGTTTGAGGTAGGAGTTTATGTGGCCATGTTGGTAATGGCACATTCGTGAGATCAGGTGTTCCACAAACTCCACCTGGTCCGCCTCAGACCACTGATCAAAGAGCTGGATGCACACGTCCTTCTCCTTCTCGTAATTTCCCTCTGACGGCCGCTTCCTAGAGCCTGTCAAGGGTCCATTACTCACCTGAGGACAGATAAAAGTAGGCTGGGAGAATCGTAAAAGGAAAAACAAATAAATAGATATATTAGATGAGACAAAAAATAATCTGTATTGGAAAGGATTGGTCAAATTGAAAATCTGAAACATACTAAAATACTATCATAGTATTTCAAGGCAGATGCGTTTACTTGGCAAAAAACAGTGCTGCACGTGCTCTACTATTAGGGTGCTTTCACACTTGGTTCGATTGCCTGGTCCGAACCTGAGTTTTATTGCTCCCCGCTTCCTGTTTCCCCCGCTGCTTAGTAACAATGGCACAGGAGAAGGCGGCAAAATGCGTAGCATTGCTCTCTTCACTTTTATATTTGTTTTTGAACCGTTGGTTTGGTTTCCAAAGCTTCAGTACATAACGGCACTTACGTCTTGTCTTACGAATGTACTGCAAATGCTCTAAAAAATACTGAAGGCAAACAGAAATTAGATAAACAGCTCTCTGTTTGCAGCGTGTCAGTCACGCTTGTCAGGAAAGTGAGTGAAACACAGACAAACACACATTTTAAAACTCTGTACCGGCGTTCACTTGAACCATAACCCAGATTACTCCTTTTAAGCAGACTCGGGTATGGTTCTCAGGTGCACACCCGCGTTTGGAAGACAGCGTTCACATCATCCAAACTGCCAAACTCTGACGTCAATCGGACCAGGGGCACACCAAAAGAGCTAGTGTGAAAGCACTCTTAAAAGAGCCACATACAGTTGCTGTCTTCATATGCAATAATAGGAGTTTCTACAATAAATTATCATGCTATTAATCCCAAACAACTCATCTCACTTGATGTTCTGTACAAACTGTGGAACCAGAGCACTTAAGTGACACTTAAAAACATTTCAAGAAAACTGGCACAAACAAACTAAGCAAAACAAGATTGTTTGTTTCTTTGTAGAAAAGTTTAGTTAAAGATTCAAACACTTTCTGGTATTCAAAATTAAATAAAACAAAAGGTATATAAAACATCTGTACCAGCTTTAGGGGAACTGATCTCATTCATTCACTAAAATACATTTGGTTTCAATAAAAGTAAACGCAAAAATGCCTCAGAAATGTAAAGTTAGCCTTGAGAAGGGCTGCAGATCATGCCACTTGGTTTCATATGAAATTACTGTTCAAAGGTTTGGGGTCAGTAAGATTTTCTTCTAAAGAAATTAATACTTTCATTCAGCAAGGACACATTCAATTAGTCAAAAATGATACTAAATAATTTTATAATGTTGCAAGAGTTAAATTATGTTATTTTGAACATTCCATTCATCAAAAAATCCTAAAAATAAATAAATAAATATATATATATATATATATATATATATA